TTCTTACTTAGTGCAAGTTCACTTCATCCCAGGACAATTATAATTAACTAGCTGACCCGGCGAACTTTGTTCCGCCTTAATGGCAATAAATAAGCAGACTTTTTTTTATTTCGAACGGGATAAAAAGTGTCCTCTCCTATGTCCTTCTCCTGGCTCTAAACTACCTCCCTGACAATTTTCAGCTAAATCGGTTCAGCCGTTCTTGAGTTATAAGTGGTGTAACTAACACGACTTTCTTTTATATATATAGATGTGCAGCAGCATTGTGCCCTTAACTTCGTGGAAATCACTTTCCTGAGTCCTCATTAATACAATTCAAGCTGGCAACCCTGCAGAAACCACAGCGAGCTATTCCGACCTTCTTGCAAGACATTGCGAACAATGATACAGGTTATAGAAGCAAATTAGGATGAGCATGTTTATTTTGGACAAGATTTAAATAAATTTTTAAACAGAATAGACTGTAGTGTATTCTTAACTTAAACAACATCCAGGATTTTTGTCATGCATGGAGGATTTTTCAATAGTGCGGTACTTTTCCGAGACGTGAATCATTTTCAAACACAACGAATGAAAAAGTAGGAATTCATAAAATCAAAACTTTTAGAACTCGCAAAAAATGTATTTTTATTTGTGGCGGCCGAACCGAAATGGAATAGCGAAAATACGAGCTTGTAAGAGTACCTAGTTAGTTTTGGGTTTTAGTTTTATGATTAAACAAAGTAGGTAACGGGTTTTTTTAAATTTGAATAGCTAACGTGGTTGATGTTAGTTTGTGTTACAATATTGGCAAGATATTTGTTAATAATATGTTCCTTATAGATTGTATCATGCTATTGCAAGGATCTTGATTCTTAAAGTCAAAGTCAAAGTCAAAGTCAAAATTTCTTTATTTGTTTAGACTAATAAATAGTTCTTACAAATCGTCATAAAATATGCTCTTAAGGAGCCTCTACATGTCTCATAATCTTTTTACCCTACCAGCGCTTCGAGACCAACATTTGGCAAGTGCTGAGAAGAAGCGCCGCAACAAACTCAGTCACCACTGTCTGCCGGTTAATATAAATAAATAGAAATAGTAGTAGTAGGTACATTCGATTCAGGAGCAGTTCACTGAATTTACCATGCATTCTTGTATGGTGTTTCATAAGAATGGGTAGGTATACAAGATTGCGTGGTATATTAAACAAGGTAGTGACGTGCTAATATCTAGACTAACATATTAAGGTACTAGTAGAAATGACTCGCATTCATAAATTTGAATAACAGTCCCCGAAAGCAGCGCCTGTTCACAGACATGACGAGTGAACCAGCCATCGCTTCACTCGACCATATTAGAGGGAATGTAACGACCCGCCTCACTACGCCACCACCCCAGAGACATTTTAGTGAGAATGACAATGCCAAGTTATCTCTTTAAAAAAAAAAATAATAATAAAGCTAAGTAACAGTCTAGGTTGAGAAGCATGACACTATAACATTTGAGAAATTATTATTAGTTTATACATTACTTTTCATTTTAATTCTTTTTAGTGCGAGCATGAGAGGACCATAATCCTACTCCCAGGATGACTTATCATTAAGAAAATCTCGAGTTGTATAATAGGCTTTTTTAAGCATGTGATCTTTAACTATATCTTTAAATTTATTATACGGTAGCTCTTTATATTTATCAGGGACTTTGTTATAAAAATGGATACCTTGTCCCATAAAAGTGGCAAACACTTTATTAAGTCTAAAAGCGGGTATAGCCAATTTATTTTTATTTCTAGTGTTAATTTGGTGAATATCACTTTTCTTTTTGAATTCAGTAATATTTTTTTGAATAAATAGAATACAGTTTAAGATGTATTGTGAAGCGGCCGTGAGAATGCCAATTTCTTTAAACAATTCTCTAAGGGATGCTCTTGCTTTCATTTTATACAAGTATCTTATCGCACGTTTTTGCAAAATAAATATTGTTTCAAAATCTGCAGCTTTGCCCCATAGCATGATTCCATATGACATTAGGCTATGAAAGTAGCTAAAGTAGACTAAGCGAGCTGTTGAAACATCGGTTAATGACCGTATCCTTTTTATTGCAAAAGCCGCTGAGCTGAGCTTTCCCGCCAGAGTTTCTATATGGGGGCCCCACTGGAGTTTTGAGTCCAGGGTAATTCCCAGAAATATAGTAGAGTCTACCAGATCGATTGCATTATTATTAAGTTCTATTTGGGTACTAACTGTTTTTACGTTAGGCAAAGAGAATTTTATACATTTTGTTTTCTTTGCATTGAGTTGTAAATTATTTGTAGTGAACCAACTTAAAACTCTTGTTAGTGCATTATTTACATCGTCAAAGTTATTTTTACTTCTATCAATATTAAAAATCAAAGATGTGTCATCAGCAAATAACACGATTCATCTTAAGTCGCGATCCCGTCTCGCCGAGACTGTTCCTCAATGTATATTAAATTCCTGGATACATGCTGGAACGCAGTTGGAATTATGGAGCATGCTGTATATTATCAGGGCGGTGGGACTTGCGTTACTTGGAGACGAACTCAGTATTTAAATGTCAGAAACGATTTTACAATCTACCAACTGGACGTTTTTAAAATTATTGGTAGAGGATTTTCTTCAGCAGTGGACGTCTTGGGGATGAAATTTTGGTGATGATGATGTTACACATTTGAAATCGTGTAGGAAATATCGGCTGAAGAAGTCTAGCATTGTAAAGGTTACAAATCAAAATTCAATATATATTTTATACAGTTGATAAATAAAACGGATGATATATTGGTACATAAAAGCCATCTAAACCATGTTTTGGATTGAATGCTAATTCCTTTTATTCACAAAATTCAAACATTTTCCCTCTATTTCAAAATGATAAGGCATCACTAGCCTCGCACACAGTTTATTCAAACCGTTTTGCAAATTGATCGTTCAATACAAAAATAATAGAGTTAGCCAAGTCGCAAATTAACTGGCGTTTTGGAAAATATTTATAAATGCTTTTTACGCTATAGTGTAGTAAATTATCACGAGAATAATATTTTAACAATGTAGGTATCTGTAGCCTATTTACATTTAAAAAGTAGAGTCTTGTAAAATAATAAATGTTTGTAGTCTGTGCTTACCCTTCTTACTGAAAGATGCATGAAAAGAGCGCGCATATTTAACTTTGTTAAGATGATGTAAACAAAAATTGTTAGTTTATATTTTCATGATTGCATAGTAAGCTTTCCACACTCGTAATAGAAAGTTTTGATTAAATGCAAGTAGCTTTGAAGCTGTGCGACATGGAGCTTTGGAGCTGTTTGGTAGAGGTGCGATAATCGGGAAATTTGGAATAATATCGTGCCTGTTTTCTCGTAGCAGTCGTAGCGGGTGTAGCACTGAACGCGCGCCGTAGCTGTAGCAATCCCATCCCACTTCATGGTTACCTACGTATTGAGAACATCTCGTTCCAGCGATAATGCTTTGAACTATCGTATTCGTAGTACAATCGAGTGGGCTAGTATTAGATACATATACGTATGCTATCTGGAGTTAAGATTAATACCTGCTTGCCTGTTTGCATTACACAATTATGTTCAGAGCTCATTTGTAGAAAGACGATGTCAAAGATGTATCTACTGACTGCTACTAGCTATATGGAAGCATGGTCTCAGTCCACCCTGAAATAAAACTTTCCTCTGCCGTTCCACAACTGCTGAAATAAAATTGTGAAAATATTATAACCCTGTGCGACATTATAAAAATGCCTATGACAACATAAAATCGATACACAAACCGTCATAGTATAAAAACCGAGCATAGGAAACCGGAATGGGCCTTACATTACCGCGGCGGTCGTTGGCGCGTCGAACAAAGGCCTACAATAATAGTGTTGCCGGATTTATCAGATGCCCGGCCGGATATATGGCGGCACTAGCCGTTAAATATTATGCACCACGTTAATAACCGCCCAAGAATTAACCAGCGGTTTTAAATTTTGCGAAACGGCTGCGTTGACACGGCATAAATTCGAGTGCACATTGTAGCTTAGATAAAATAACGTTTGCACTCACCTGGTTATCCGGGTCATCGCCTGTGTTCTAGCGGGAAAAACTTTATTTCTCGACCGGATTATAGTATCTGATCGGAAAAATCTCTATGCTTTGAAGGGAATTTAGGTACATGCATGAGACACCTTTTTGGTGGATGTGTCCTTTTAACTTGTACTCTGCAGTCAAAAGGATAGTGGCCTAAAAATACTTGTATTTTATAATCAATGAAACAAAATACCTACTCCCATAAAAATCTTAATTAGCAATTTAGCAACAACGCGTAAACTAACCTATCTGCTAATTGCTAGATACGTTTGTGAATATCGTTGCGTCACGTGACCTTTCCTTTCGCCAAAATGGCCGCTGCACCTAATTGGGCCCAGCAGTCGTGTAATTGGATGCGCGTGGGCTGCGTTTGGGGTAATCCGGCGCACTAATTTTCTAATTCCCATAATTTTGACACGATTTGGGCAGTTAGCTGGTGAGCGGGAAACGCTGACGGTTAACAGCTCGTTTGTTAGGTAATACTCCGAACCGTTAGATTTGGAATATTAAACTCTTTTTTTACCTACCTTACACTAGCGTGTATGGGACTATTCCTACCTCTGTTTCCTACTGCTGCAGCTCCTGTGTAGCCAGGATCTACAGCTTGACCGCCAAAAAAAACCCAACTAGTGAAAGTCAAGTTTGTCCCGGGGGAAAGTTACTGTCTTTGGACCCGCAATGAATTTAATTTGAGTTAAGTATTGATTAACTTCGTCATTACCTCAATGACAGTTTAACTTTAGGCAAACTTGGCCTTCGTTGGTTTGGTTTTTATTGGCAGTTTTGCTGTAGTAGATCTCAGTTACATAGGAGCTGCAGGTGGGAATAGTCCCGTACCTATTACAAGCGAATCGCGACTTAAACCATTACTTGTTGTTAATTATAGAATGTTGTGTCTAACGTTGTTCTCTTTTGTTGCAGCTACGACCGCGACCAGCCCTTCACCTTCCAGATCGGCGTGGGGCAGGTCATCAAGGGCTGGGACCAGGGCCTGCTCGACATGTGTGTCGGTCAGTATCTTTGTTTTTAATTTCCTTTATCCACAACGAGGAAGCTCTCGGCCTGCATCTCATCTGATGGAAAGCGACCTTCACTGGTTGGTTATTTATTGTAATAAAGTAAAGTAAAGTAAAGTAATAAAGTCTTTATTGTGTATTGGCGGTCAAGCTGTTGATCCTGGCTACACAGGAGTTGCAGCGTTTGATGGGATGCGTGGGATTAGTCCCATTTGATGTAAAGGGATGATCAGGCTGCAGGTGGAAGCGTCTTCATTCGTATAACCAGAGTCAAATAGAAAACAGTAAAATATTTTTACACTGAATTAAGAAAGACCGATTAGATCAATCAGTAAAAACTATAATGCTAAGTGTTATTTCACTATTTTTTTAAAATTGGAACATAATGCACCTTGATATTGGAAAAAGCATCCTCTGAGGGTTAGTTATAATTTTTTAAAAGTGTCACAAATGCTATTTTATGTCGCTCACTTGTTTTCAAAAGAACAGGTAGTTACTCTCTGAGAAGGAAACTTAATTCCAGGTCACAATGCGATGAGTTTCAGAAGAGCCGCACTCGTGCACCTTTTACTGAAAATTCTTATATAATTCTGATTTAATCTAATCCATACTAAAGTCGTAATAAAGTTGCCTTAATAATACTAACCCCGATTTCTGAAAAAAATCTAAGCCCTCAACCCAACATCACAAAAAACCGTTAAAAACTTTCATATAATGCATGTTACTCATTTTACATTCATTTGAAGTGGAATTTCGTGACACGTACCAAGTATAACTATTAACTACTCTTCCCTCATACTGTGCCCCGATGTTGTTATGCCCTGATGCAAACACAAAGATGCCCCATTATATTATCATTTCTTCAGCTAAGTGCGCGATAGTGCTCCTCGAATGTCGTTCGCGAGTTCATTATAAACTGCTTGTGTCATCGGAGGTAACGAGGTCACTCTTTATTCTGTTCTTAAGTGTATTGTTATTCTGAGCTCGACTTCTTCTCTTTCATTGAGTGTTGTGCTAAATGCAGTAATGTACGCAGCTGCTGGGCATTTAATCAGCTTCATTACAGCAGCTCAAATTCTCAATAAATAAGGCTGGGTTGCACCATCTTACTTTAACTTTGACAAACGTCAAAGTTAAGGTAAGATGAAATCTGTCAAACTCCAAACAAAAAACACCGGTTATCGCCAAAGTTACGGTCAAAGTTAGGTGGTGCAACTAAGCCTAAGTGGACCAGGCACTATACAGTGTGGGATGAAAAAATTATGGTTGAATAGCCACAAGGTATGTAGGTATGTGGGGAAATCAAAATCAAAATCAAAATTTTCTTTATTTGTTTAGACTAATTAAATTAGTTCTTGCAAATCGTCAAATGCTCTTAAGAAGCCTATACATGTCTCATTCTTTTTTTGCCCTACCAGCGCTTCGAGACAAACATTTGGCAAGTGCTGAGAAGAAGCGCCGCAACAAAGTCAGTCACCACTGTCTGCCGGTTTAAAAATATAAAAAAATATAAAAAAAGTAGGAAGTTACATTACATTCAGAAGCAAGTTACTTAACACGCGCACGGGAGAGTCATTACCGAAGGAAGGAATGACAGTAATACTTATTGTTGTCATTATTACTGTCTGATGATATCGCTATCAGCTAGCTAAAGTCAATTTCGATTCCTCTTTACTGAAGTCAAAGTTCTGGCATACTCAAACCAAGCATTTTAAAATTATGTAACTTGTGACATCAAAAAGTCGACATATCACGATCTGGAAGCTGGCTCAAGTACGAGGTACCAGTAAAACGACACGCGACAGGCAACAATTGCTTGCTGACGCACTAATGGCTTGCCGGAAGTCCAGTTAGGTACCTAGAAAAGCTTTTACCTACTTGAGATTTCTGCGCCTCACCTCGATCTCACTTGAAGTCGAAGCCTATTACTTGGTTAAAAACATACAAATATCATTGAGCTAAAATGTGAGGTTTGTCCTAACTTCAAATAATATTGAAGAAAGTTTTTAATTAGGTTTGCTTGCGATGCGCGGGTTTATTTAAACAACTAACTTTTTAATAAACAGGTGGGTTGGTACTCCAGACAAAGAAGGCGTCTAGCAGCACTATTAAATCGATTTCCAAGTAATTCCTCGCATCATAGGAGGCGGTCTAATCCAAGATGGCCCGGACTCGCTGAATAAGGCCGCAGAGGCTCGGCGCCCGGCTTTGTCCGCACACAGATACTAAGCGGCTTACTAATATTGTACGTAACGACCTGCCGCTTTAAGGCTTTCTAGCTTATTACAGATGACATGTAATAATTGTGTGGTCCTGCCTCGAATGTACTGTTGCCAGCGTCCAGCGATACTAGCGAGTCTGTTGTCTGTTCGGCTGTACTGCAACTTTTCTAGTTTTGCAAATGTGAAAGGAAAAAAAAACACTTGAAAAAGAGCCTTTAGAGCCGAACATCTAAGAAAAGTAAATATTTAAATATTTCTAGACCTGTTTCCCAATGAAATTTGATTAACCACAATCTTGGACACTGTGTATAAGACGAGAATACGGCTGACTATTAATAAACTACATTATAATCAACGCTATAAGCATCTGATTGTCTATGTTCTGGCATTGTCTATTCACAAAAAACAAAAGAATAGAACTGATGTCTGATGCAGAGATGACAGCTACTTCGTGTGTTGAACTTGCCGGAGTAGAAAGGTTTATTGTTAACTTTAACGTAGGCCTTATTATAGCGAGAAAAGCTTTGGGATAAGATTACGTAGACCGATAATGGTTACCTACGATCTAGAGAGGAGACAGAGGTTATGACTACCTACACTTATTATTTTATCTGTAGCTTTTCACATTTTCTTTTTCTAAACAACTGCAATTCGTCGATGATTGCAGACTTCAGCTCCTATTTTGTGCTTCAGTGTTGATTGCTTTTCAAAAATACTTAATTTGCCAAAACTCGCCATGGGCGTGTGGTGTTATAGGCAGTTCAATATTATGGTTGAAATAATTAAATAACTATTAGGTAGTTATTATAACTAACTAATGAATCAAATCAACTAGAATTAATAAAAAATATTTTTGCTTGACCGAAATATTTACTTTCTACATCGGAATAAAACTTAGCCCGCTTCTTATGGCATGGATAGACCAATTAAATCTCTTGTACGAGTACAGTCGTAACATTCGTTTGTTCGCGTAAATATTGTACTAAACTGCGTAATGGTTTTTATATGGTTTTCACTCTAATTTAGTCAGTTTCTTCCGAAAGTTGTAATGCACATTATGCACGTGGAAAGTAGAGAAACCTTACGAAACTAGCTGTGGGTCTGTGTTACTTTTATGTAACTTAATTAAAATGTGTACTTAAGTAAAGTTATTAAATAAAACTGATATACAAGAGACGTTTTGATTGAATCTGAATCTCTGAATATCTAAGATCTACTTTAAATTTAAACGGCTTCGTCGCTTACGAACGAAGTCACGGACAGTTAGTTACAAAAAAAGCAAAAATGAGAGACAAAATCATAAGCAGCCTAAGTTGTTTATAAATAGTTTCCCGACATAAAGTGCTTACTTAGGTGTCCCCAACAAAACCTTTGTTACCCTTGATTTTCCACAATAACTTTTTTCTCACTTTTGTTGATAAAATACTTATGTCAAAGTAGAAACGTTCGTAAACCCTAATCCTGTACTTAAGATTATATTCTCTGCGTAATAAAAATAAATAATGTGTGAATGAAAGTTAACACATTGGTAGAGACGTAAGCTGCTAGGTAGGATAAGGCTGCAGCCACATGGTGAACTATTATTATTTTATAGTCCTACAAATAATAGGATGCTATTGTTTAAATACCACTCGTTATCCACTGGACTATTTCACACGTAGGTAACTCATTTTAGGCAGAGGGATTAACTCATTTAAATAAAAAGAAACACGAAAAACACTTGCTACATTAAATAAAACTCGTTTATTTTTGCAAATAGGCTTTTAGAAAGCACTTGTAGACGTCCCTACCCAGTGGTACCCGAAGCAGTCTTCGGGACAATAAATGGGCCAGTGCTGAGAAGAAGCAGCGCAAGAAACTCAGTCATTATTTGTTTCTTAACTGACTCTTTTAGTTTTGTAACTCCTTCCCTTTCACGTTCCAGGCGAGAAGCGTAAGCTGACCATCCCCTCGTCTCTTGGCTACGGCGAGCGCGGAGCTGGCAACGTGATCCCGCCCCACGCCACCCTGCACTTTGAGGTGGAACTCATCAACATCGGCGACTCGCCGCCCACCACCAACGTCTTCAAGGAGATCGACGCCGACAAAGACAACCTCCTGTCCCGCGAAGAAGTGAGTATTGAGCTGGCATTCCAAGCTATGGACTCGGACGGCGACAAAGAGCTGTCGAGAGAAGAGGTTAGTTGTCAGGTGGTGGTCCGCCTTGGATGGGTCTTCGCTTCGGTCTGCTAAGGAGGAGGTGTTGCATGCAACTGCGTCAGTCGCGGTGGACCAGCGCACAGAGAAATAGCTTTAAAGTTCAGTCAAACCAAGTGCGATGGCGATGGCGATCTGTAGAATTTAGTAAGATTGCCAACGCCATCGCCATCGCGCACGCGGGCTACAAACTCGTGGCGGAACCTTTAGGTTTTCATTCTTCTACTATCTTTGGTAATACAAACTCGTATACTTACTATGTTTTCTTCTTAATTATTATTAATCCACCTACTTCAACTCAGACTATTATAACTCTAACTTTGCTACCAAGCAGTGTATAATTGCTTTACGTAGGTAGCTACTTTTACTTATGAAACTGTTCCTCTATGTCTTACTACACTACCGACCAAAAAATAGGAACGAAGACGACTTTTCTTTATAGAAATGACACGCCGCGCCGGAAGTAGTCTCCGCCCGATCACCAGTTTCCGCTTTCTGCAGGCACCTTGGCGGCAAGTTTGTGGAGGAGCGGGTACAGGCTACGTGTGACTATCGCCTTATTTGCAGATCTTGTACATCCTTTAAAGATCGACAATGGTGGCTGTCTCTCAGCCTTTCTCAAAACTATTGGCATCCAGCACGTACCTATCTGTTGTAAATAACTACCTAATAATTAAAATAGTCCCTGCTATTCTATTGTGTAGGTACATAATATTTTCTTTTCTTTCAATGCTAATTGTCACGCAATAAACGCCATTCCAACTTAACTTTATTCTAACAAAGAAAGCATGCAATCCTTTCGCAATTAACGTAATTCAATCAGTATTATTATCTACATTTCAAGTGCATCACTTTAATTAATTCTTTATTAAAACTTTTAATTGAAATTGTATCTCATAGAATTAATTAATAAAACAAACAATAGCTGCCGTTCCCAGGAACATTAATGAATAGAAAGCCGATCCGCGACGTCGTATTACACAAGTTTCTGTTACACCTTTGTCTCTTCCGATGATAGTGAAGTCTGGAATAAACGGTGGAGTTACAAAACGCCTTCTTCGGTGTATCTTATCATTTGTTTGTCTTGTTCTCAGGTAAGCGAGTACCTGAAGAAGCAAATGGTGCCTTCGGATGGTGCTGAGATCAGCGAGGACATCAAGCAGATGCTCGAAAGCCACGACAAGCTCGTCGAGGAAATCTTCCAACACGAGGACAAGGACAAAAACGGCTTCATCAGCCACGAGGAGTTCTCAGGCCCTAAACACGACGAACTCTAAACGCTAAATAACTTCAATCCCCATTACGTTATTCTTTAAAACTATTAAAGCGAACATGACACTTGTCTATGGTTCACAATGTAATCACATGGACCCAATCTTTGTACTTATTTATTAAAAAATCATGTCAGATTCGCTTTAAAATAGTTTTAAGTTATTTTTTACAAGACTTTTGAGAATGCGAGTTTGAAATTATTATTTTAATAATTGTTTGTATATTTGTCTTCTCTAAATTGTTACAATACACTCATTCACGTTAAGTGACAACTTTGTTTTTATCAGCGTATGAGAGTTTTTGTTGAGTCTTTTGTACTTAGTTTACGTTGTTGGTGTATCTACGAATTTGTTATTTAGGTACATATTATTATTACGATTAGATAGTAACACTGATGCATTATTCAAGCATAATATATGTAATTATATCTCCTTACTCGGTGCTAAGTGACTTTCGTAGCACGATATTTTAAGAAATCGTCAATTAGGTACTGACTATTGACATTGTAAATTCGTATTTCTAACTGAATAGCCTGTTCTGATCTACTACCTACCCACATATCCAAGACTTTGGTATCCACCTGAAGGCTTTCATCGAAGGTATATTAAGTAAGGGATGATAGAATTTTACTGTTTACATAGTAGAAGAACTGCGTATTTACTGTAGTAGAAATATTCTAAATGTGACCAAACGTTTCAAACTTTTCGTATAATAATGTAGTGAGTACATTCATGTAGATCATAATAAGATCTTTGTATTATCTACTATTTTATGTTTCATCACGTTGAGTAGATTTGAAAGTACGCTACATAATAGTCACTAATAGTTTATTAATCAACCATATAATATACACAATATCTATGTGTTGTGAGTTCCAATATGCATCGTATTTATTATGTGTAACATTATTCCATGTTCATTCCGCCGTATTTAATAAATAAACTTATTTATATCAATAAATCTTTGGTTTATAATTTCCTCACCATAAAAATATTATACCTAATAATTTAAATTAATGAGTTTTTTGTTATCTACTTGGAGTTTATTCATACTTACGAGTAGATAATTGACTACTATCGTCGGCCGTTTGGTGTATTGGTTCGTAATCGTAACGCACTTTTAAGTCAAGAGGTCGCGGGTTCGATTCCCTCGCAGTAGAAACATTTGTGTGGATATACACATTTGTTTGTATTAGACTGGGTATTTTCTATCTATATGAAGTATGAATTTACAAAAAAAAGTATTTATGTATGTTTAATCCGTTGTCTATTACCCATAGTACAAGCTTTGCTACAAAGACGCAATGCAATGCCCAAGGATATTTATTTATTTAAAAAACCAATAACTAAACGTAACTTTGTAATGATTGAACAGAATCTTTAACAGACCAAGATTGTTCTGATTCTGATATAGGTATTATTATTTTTCTATCATAATTTCTGCCACAGGACGTCCACAAATGAACATTAAGTACTAGGTATGCCTCCAGCGTCTGCTACCTTTACTAGCTCCTACTAATGAATACAGTTGTTCCGAAAATGCTGAACCGATTATGAAGTAACTGTCGCTTCCTAATGTTATTTTGCGAATATATTATTCCGAAATCCGCAATTTAAAATCGATGACCGAAATTGGGTCGTTCTAAGATATAATATCATTGAATGAACTCATTATAATTTTGTAGGTATCTTGAAAAAAGTTAAGTAGTAGGCAGCCTATTTATGTACCTAGTCGGTAGGTAACTTCAAATTCTCTCAAGAAGACCGCGTCAGGCAAGTGAGGTGAAAACCTCAAGGGATTAGGGGGAATATTTGTCAATCATTTAAATTTTTATTACAAGTAAGTATACACAATCAGTCATCCATTTGAAAGAAAGAAACATTTTATATTTAGTCCAAAGACTACATCACTTTAAATTGAACCAACATGGCTGCCACTCAGCTCAGCATGACTGTGTTATGCTCTTGGTTAGAACCTAAAACATAACGCTGGTATTGTGTGGCAGCCATAATTAAATTATTAAAGAAGAACGGTCATCTGTGACCCAGGCCCGACAGAAACGAGACATAGGTACCTAAGTTTTTTTGTCATGACTTAATTAGTTAAATTATATATTTTTTATATTCGAAATCTACTTATGTATAACACCAAAATATTACCCTTTGTTTTTGTTCAGGCGTTATACAAAAACTAATACAAAATGCCTATTTATCACCAAAATTGGTAAATGTATGTGTACCTAAATGTCTATTACAGCTGCTATGGAATATATCTAGGTGACCTGGAGATACAGCCGGATTATACAAGGTGGAAACGAGAAGTTACAAAATCCAAAAATTCAATGTTACCAGCTTCCATAATCTGTAACCTATTATTGGTACCATTTGAAAGAGCTCGTAAAGCACTTTCAGAATCAGTAACTAGTTTTTCGATATCTTGTATAGTTTAGAAATAATCAAGTGAGATCACTTATCGTTCCATATGTATAACCACCCTGTATAATCCGGCTGTATCTCCAGGTCACCTAGATACATTCCATAGCAGCTGTAATAGACATTTAAGTACATACATTTACCAATTTTGGTGATAAATAGGCATTTTGTATTAGTTTTTAGGGTTCCGTACCTCAAAAGGAAAAAACGGAACCCTTATAGGATCACTTTGTTGTCCGTCCGTCCGTCTGTCAAGACCCTTTTTCTCAGGAACGCGTGGAGGTATGAAGCTGAAATTTATATCAATTACTCAGGTCTGCTGTCCCTTGAAGATGTGAAAAAATAAAACTTCTAAGCCAACGCAATCAAAAGATACAGCCGTTTATGCCGCAAATTTTCGACACTTGCAAGGGAATCAAAACCTACAGGGTGCTTGCCGTGAACTCAGAATCTTGAAATTTGGTACGAAGCAACGTCTTATAGCATCGATAAAGGAAAAATTACGAAAACCATAAATTTTTAGTTACATCACATATTTTTTTTNGGGCTCCCTGCTCAGCCGGCGCGGCGCCGCCAAGCTGCTGGCCGCGCAGCCGCTGGCGCGCGTGCTGCCCGTGGACGAGTTCCTGCCCATCATGTTCGACCAGCACCCCAAGTGAGTGGCTCGTCTGGTAGCCTCGCGGGCTCCCTGCTCAGCCGGCGCGGCGCCGCCAAGCTGCTGGCCGCGCAGCCGCTGGCGCGCGTGCTGCCCGTGGACGAGTTCCTGCCCATCATGTTCGACCAGCACCCCAAGTGAGTGGCTCGTCTGGTAGCCTCATTGAATGATCAAACGAACTTACCAAGTGAAGTTCGATCTAAATTATCCTGTTTTCGCCGAAGAGATTTAAGGTCCCTCCCAACCCGAAGATTTCTATATCTTCTTCCCTGGAGGTAAACGTCAATGTCATCTCTTCTCTAAATATAATGAGACCGCTCGGACACCGAGCCCACAGCGTGGTAGGGGTGGGGTTGCCCGCTCTTTTGTTTTTTAATACTACTACGCTGAATATTGTGTGCGGATTGGGTTGTCGTACAGGGGTACTACATGGTAAAATAAATCTCTTCGGCGAAAACAGGATAATTTAGATCGAACTTCACTTGGTAAGTTCGTTTGATCATTCAAAAATACCATAGTTATGACTCGATTATCGTAATGAACGAACTTTGTAAACCTTGTACGGAACCCTCGGTGCGCGAGTCCGACTCGCACTTGGCCGGTTTTTGTATAACGCCTGAACAAAAACAAAGGGTAATATTTTGGTGTTATACATAGATTTCGAATATAAAAAATATATAATTTAACTAATTAAGACATGACAAAAAATCTGAGGTATGTCTCGTTTCTGTCGGGTCTGGGTTTTTTTGTATGGGGCGTGACCGTTCTTCTTTAGAATTCGGTCTTTTTTTCAACGTTTTAGGTGCCATGAATGAGGCATGAATTCGGACCACAGATGGGTATTTCGCCAAAAATGGTCAATTTTGCCTAATTTCCTTGGCACGAATTTTATTTCTGTTTTTAACTTTTTTTAGTTTCCCGTTGCATTAAGTAGTAAAAACTAAGCTAATATATCTAGAAGGGGTGTCATAATTCGTTTTAGAAACAAAGTTATGAGGTCATAAATTTTTGGTAGCCAAGGAAATTATTATAAATATTTTGTTCTCTAAGTTTTCTTCTGTGGTTTGCTTTTTTTTTGTTCGACCTATTTTTGTGTACTTTCGCAAGCAAACATGCTAATAAATATTAAATCAANGGGGTGTCATAATTCGTTTTAGAAACAAAGTTATGAGGTCATAAATTTTTGGTAGCCAAGGAAATTATTATAAATATTTTTTTCTCTAAGTTTTCTTCTGTGGTTTGCTTTTTTTTTGTTCGACCTATTTTTGTGTACTTTCGCAAGCAAACATGCCAATGAATATTATATCATTACGACCTTTTTACACAACTAAGGAAGATAAATGCAGTAGATTGAGTTAAAAGTTAAAAACAAGTTTTTCTATATCTATTCTGATACCTATTTCTTAAAATTTAAATTTTAAACTTATTCCAATAAAGAAATACTCAAAATTTGACTTTACGCCGAATTATTAATGGTCTTTTATAATTTCCTAGGTCATTTTATGCCACGGAAAACAAGGAAATTAGGACCAAAGAAATTAGATTTATGCCTAAAAGACACCACAGACAAAAACCTATTTACCCTATACATTTACTATTTAAATCATGGGTTTACCCCTACAGACACTACATTTGTGTAAATAAACAATAAAATTAATCCATTGTTTAGTTGCAAAAAACCGTCCAAAGAAATTGACTTTTTAGTAAACAAAAACCCAAGGAGGGACCTATTTATGCGATTTGTCGCGAAACTGATCAACGACGTGCTGTCCTGCCTCAATGGCCTCTTGGGACGAAATGGCCGAGTGTAGTGGTGCAGTGCGTTACATTCTAAGTTTTTTCGTTTCGTTACAACAATGGTCGAAACGAAGACCCAGGGAAATTATACTTTTGATCTGGACAAGAACTTAACTTCACTTTATTTTCTTCCTATAAGTATTTGACATTTAAAGTTTTTATTTTCCGATAGCCAAACGTTTCTCAAATGTAAAGAGAGTGCTATAAGAATTAAATTACGCTTCAATTTGTTATAATGAGCCTTCATTTTGGCAAACAACAGTAATGGACATGACAAGGAAATTAGAAAAACGACTTTTGATTAAGTTTTTCTACGGTATTATTTGTAGTTTCTGCTATTGTAATAGCAAAAACAAATAAAACTTTTGATGAACTTTCTCATAAAAATAGTTTTATACAGATAGATATAAAAAAACATGTGTTTGCCTGCCTGGACACAGAAAATTTACTGTTTCGGCGAAATACCCAGATATCTATGATTCGGACCTGTGATTCGGACACTGACCTTACTTTGACAGTAATGACAATGACATTGACACCTCTTTTTTGTCTATGGATTTTGACATCTAAGCTCATTCATTCATTCATTCGTTCTTATTTACGTCACGGACTGACACCTTGTCAGTCACTCAAAAAAGTTTGTTTAGTTTCCGTTCTGTCGTCTACCATAATGTGTTTCGCTTTGTGAAATTAGAAAAAATGCTGTCCAACAAACGTCTCGTCGCTGTTTGCGCGATTGCCTTCTGCTGCAACGTAGCTGTGCTGGTGCTCTTCGTCAGCTACAACGCCTATGAAAGATGTTATGTCACAATAGACGAGCAACAAGAGGTAACAGCGGTTCTCCCTACCAACTTTCTCAGCATCGGAATTGATACATCTCAAGTAGAAGATTTCGACAGACTAGATTTTTTAAACAAACGCTTTGTTGAACTAGCGTCCGAGTTGGCTCCGGCTCGCATGCGCCTCGGCGGGACTATGTCCGACAGACTCATATTCAGCACCTTGCCAGAAACTATTAGCTGCGAACACTGCCACGACGGAAACCAGACCGGCCACGCCTGTGGCGCACTGAAAAAACTTTGCAAACACAAATTCTTGCCATTCTTCATTTTGACTGGTCAAAAATGGGACGAAATTAACTCCTTCTGTTCCAAAACTCATATCAAATTATTGTTCACCATCAACGTGCTCCTACGCGACCACCACGCCTGGGACGAGCGCAACGCGCGCGCCCTGCTCGCCCACTCCCACCGGCGGCACTACAAGATAGACTGGCAGCTGGGTAATGAACCTAATTCATTCCCGCATGTTTATAACACCACCATTACCCCCAAATCATTAGCCAAAGATTTCAAGAAACTACGAAAACTTCTGAATGAAACTGGCTATGGTAACTCATTACTGGTGGGCCCTGACACTACTCGTCCTCAAGAGAAGCGGCCAGAATGCCTCAAGTACATGGTAGATTTTTTGGGAAATGGTTCCAATTACATTAATGTCCGTTCCTGGCATCAATATTATTTAAACAGTAGAACTGCCAAATTAGAAGATTTTTGGGATCCAGACACATTTGATTTGTTGGATGAGCAAATAAAGACTATGAAGTCACATACCAAGGACTATGATCATATGCCAATGTGGCTCACTGAAACTAGCAGTTCCTATGGAGGCGGTGCTCCGGGCCTGTCCAACTCCTTTGCTGGCTCTCCCTTGTGGCTGGACAAGCTGGGGCTCTCTGCAAAGTATAACATCACCACTGTGGTACGGCAAAGTTTTTATGGTGGAAACTATAGTTTGATTGACACAGAATTGGAACCTCTGCCTGATTGGTGGGTGAGTGTTTTGTACAAGAGACTTGTCGGAAGCAAAGTCCTGCACGTTGACTGTCAGTGCTCTCGATTCCAGAGGATGTATGCTCATTGTGCAAATAGAAGATACACAAATGACACATCAGCTATAACTGTTTATGCTGTAAATTTAGAGATGGCTAAAGCTCGTTTTCTTATCAATGGGACAGCTATTCATGGCAAAGATTTGCTAATTGACGAATACATTATCAGTGCCCCTTCAAACAACAGAAGAACGAAAACTGTGCTACTAAATGGCTGGCCGTTGTACTATGAATCATCGTTGCCTGACTTGCAGCCACGCCACCTCAAGTATGGCAACCACATTTCTATGCCTCCGTACTCCATTGGCTTCTGGGTCATCAAGAACACATCCATAAAAGTTTGTATGTAAAACTCCATTAATTTTAAGTACCTACCTACTTAGCTACATTGGTTTTACTTAACATTGTACATAAATATTTTATGTACAGTTCAAAGAAAATACCCTATAGATGTTGCAGTTTTACAGGTAATTGTACCACTTATATATTTTTAAGAGTGTGAGGAGCACCTGCATTCTCATTGTAGTTTCACATGATCTCAACATTATTAGTATGAGCGTATTGACCAGCCCAGTGCTTGAAAATGTAATATAGCCATTACAATACAGGGTACATTGTAATTTAACACATTTCTAAACACATTAGGAGTAAAATCTGTACTTTTTCTTCACTACTTCTATAAATAATGTGATAAATTACAATACCTCCTGTATGTTTTAGTTAATCTTTAATTTTAATTATTCTGTTAGAATCAAAAATCTCATGTTTAGTCTACATTCCAAGTCTACCTATTATAGTTCAATTGATTTATTATTAATTAAAATGAAAACAATTGATTTAAAGCCTTTTATTAAAGGCTAATTAATTTATAGACATTTCCGGAAACGTTTCATCATCAATATTAGCGTTTGTGGTATTGATTGGGTTGCAAAAGAAAAAAATATTTTGTCCTAAGATACATAAGTGAAAAAACATAACTCTACGAAGTTGATCACTTCTTCTGTTATTATTGCATTAATGTTTACATGTTCAGATTTTACTAAATATTAATTACAGAGAAATAATATTTACTAGATGTCGTTTATTAAAGTTATCTCTTGCAAGTCCTCAATTGCCAGCCTTGTCCGCTAGTCAAGGAGTGCATCTGACATTGAACTGTCTCAGCATGATAAATGGCTCCAATTGCATGTATATTTGCAGAATTGGCGCGTTAACGCCAATCACATGCGCCCGTACGGCGGACATTGTAATGCATTTGAGTGGCCACTGCATCTTTATGATCACAAGTGCCTTTATAACACTTCCTTCAATAGATGGCAATAACGTGTGATAAACATTCTAATTAAAACTATACAGGGTGTCCCGTAATGTAACGTCAAGCCGGAACTAGGTGTTGAGGCAAGTTATGCTGGTTATCAGAAAAATATAAAAAAAAATCTATGTGGCATATTTTCAAAATAATAGGCATTTAAAAAAAATGAAAAAATTCTACTCCCGGTGACGGTCTTTTTACTCGTGTTGCCACAAATCTTCACTTTTTCCAAATTTTTTTTTTGTTATGTAACCCTGAATAATGCTTCTCTAAATTGTTATCAAAATTACAAAACCAGCTGCTCCAACTTGGATGAAAAAAATACATTACTCCCAAAAAAATTTTCAAAATAAAAATTTTTCCTAGTTTAAACTGACTGTACTGAAAAAAAAATGTACTACGCGAGTGTGGCAAGTGACGTCATAATTTGGCGTATTTAGTAAGGATTCTAAAATGGTATAACACTTGGTAAATTTTTGCTGTAATTGTCGACAATTTTTGTTTTTTTGGAAATAGTCCCGTTTTTTACTTTATCTACCTTGGTTAAAAAATATTATTGTAATGTGCCCAAAATTCAAGTTTCTGTGACTGACTACCGTACAGTCAGTCAACTTTTGTCACCATGATAGTAATTAGTAGTTGACATACTGTGACAAAAGTCACCCGTGCGCGCGCGCCTTTACTACCTGCTCTGCCTGCACTTGTACTTGGTTACAGGGATAATAAGGATATGAAGTTTCGGTTATGGATACGGTTACGGATATTAGAATAATATTATACGGGTTTCGGTTACGGTCAAGGATATGAAATCATTTCAGATTATCCGAAAGTTTCGGATAATTTCGGTTACGGAATTATTAGAATTTCAAAAATGTAGGTATAATTCAAATAGCAAGATGCTGCGTGACCCACATAGCTACTTTATGTACCAACTAAGACGACACCTATGTATGATAAAGGTAAAACAGGCTGGCATATTAGATGGTGCCAGGGAATGCCAGACAAGTTGGTAACAAATATTAAGATATAAAGTACAATTCCAAGACGTGCCGCAGACCGCAAACTGCAAAACTCTATGAAATCGGCAGCGCGGCATTGCAGCTGCGGCGTGTATACTACAGATTTCATAGAGTTTTGCAGTTTGGAATTGTACCCTTAAGACTCCGCCTTTATCCGAAACTATCCGTAACTTTTGAATCAGTTTCGGTTACGGTTATGGATATTTTTTTATTTCGGATATCCGATAGTTTCGGTTACGGTTAAGGATATCCATAACATCCCTGCTAAAATAAAATACCTATTAAAATGGCTTCTCCACCTCACTTAAGCCAGAAACTTGAATTTTGGGCACATTAGAATAATATTTTTTAACCAAGGTAGATAAAGTAAAAAACGGGACTATTTCCAAAAAAACAAAAATTGTCGACAATTACAGCAAAAATTTACCAAGTGTTATACCATTTTAGAATCCTTACTAAATACGCCAAATTATGACGTCACTTGCCACACTCGCGTAGTACATTTTTTTTTCAGTACAGTCAGTTTAAACTAGGCAAAATTTTTATTTTGAAATTTTTTTTGGGAGTAATGTATTTTTTTCATCCAAGTTGGAGTAGCTGGTTTTGTAATTTTGATAACAATTTAGAGAAGCATTATTCAGGGTTACATAACAAAAAAAAATTTGGAAAAAGTGAAGATTTGTGGCAACACGAGTAAAAAGACCGTCAACGGGAGTAGAATTTTTTCATTTTTTTTAAATGCCTATTATTTTGAAAATATGCCACATAGATTTTTTTTTATATTTTTCTGATAACCAGCATAACTTGCCTCAACACCCAGTTCCGGCTTGACGTTACATTACGGGACACCCTGTATACCTACCTTTATAGTTCTTATACATATACTTGAATGTAACTAAGGTCGATGATTGAACTGGGCAATATAGATGTAATCAATATTATTACATGTGCGAAGCGAAGCTTTCTAATCGATTTCTATGTCGTATTAGTCGCTGCTTAGGCCGTTGTTTTGTAAACATTTCTTTTTGTAAATGTTTACTGTGGAACGTCGATGTGTTTACGTCCATGACATACGGATTACCTTGTTGTCCCTGCGTACACTCGTAACTTACCTATGTAGAGACCCTCCGAATAAATCGATAAATAGGAGAAGGTATTTCCAACTTTGTGACGAATTTTGGTATTTCAATCGAGCATTTTCATCATGATTTGAAACGTAAATAAGCATTAGATAGACTAAACCTCGGGCCGAAGTGCAATTGAATACTTATGCCAATTAATGTCGTCTTTCTAATTGCTATGAAATAATTACATTTTTATTAAACATGTTTGAGGTTTAGCCTTAATAAAGTAGGAATTAGATTAAGCTTTCTTTTAAGGGCAATTTAAGATGTTCTGTACGGCTAGCACGAAAAACTTTCGAGTTCGAATCGTTTGCGTATTTGAATCGCCATCAAAAGATTTAGTACGAAAGCTACAATAGCCGCTATTGTAGCTTATTGTCGTAAAGTGAACTTAGTATTTGAAATGGTTGCACAAAACTTATTTTGAGAATCAAAATTGTCACGTTATCGTTTAATTCGAAGGTTGAGTATCGAATTTTGTCGAATACGTAAACGATTCGAAGACGAAAGTTATTCATGCTAGAGGTTATGTTTTAAAAGATCGTCATGCTTCTACCAGTGTAAAGATACGTATTTACGTAGAGATAGTTGTAAAGTAGTGTACCCAGCTGATAATATTCTTCACCGGGCAAGTTTATCTCAATGTCAATTCCTTGTCGGATGGCCTTGGCTAACGAGCGAATGTGTGCTAAATGTTCTGCTGAAATTGTCTACTTAAGCTAAAACATGAGGCTATTATGTCAGTCACTGCCATTTTCAATCTTATGCTACTTCCAAAGAGTATGTTTTGGATCATGTCGATCTTTCATAACGCTCGTTGGAACCAATATATGTAATGAAAACCTTATTTCCTTATTATGAACCTGTGTTTTAGAACGTTTATAAATATATTTTTCTATAATATGTATGTGTACCTAAATGTTAATGTGTTATAATATTATGTTTGTCAGTCATGTCTTCATAATATACCGCCCTTCCATATCGGACTAGACTGAAGCAGCACCTCTAGCACGAAACACTTTCGACTTGGAATCGTTTTCGTTTTTCGTGCTAGAGGTACAGGGCGAAGCTGCCATCGACAGCTGATCAATTGACTGGTGGCTAGATAAATGTGCCACCAAAGCATGAAGGTCTTGCGTTTGACTTGTTCCACCTTGTTCGTTGAAAGTGCCGATTCATACTAGACTATTTTCTTGAACATTTAATTGCAGAAGCTCTACATTATGGTCGCGTCTTCACTGTCATTGGTAACGTTTGTCAATTTATGTACGAGGTTTTGTGTTTGAGGATCTATTGTTGTAGCTCCAGATGAATGGCTTATGGAAGTAAGTAAAATATATGTTTAGTTTCATACGAATTATCTAATCTTATTATGTAAATGCAAACGCCTACTTATGCTTTCATACTTAAATTCTAAAATATTGTAAAAATATAAAATGTAAGGTTTTCTAGAATTTTTATTATGCTATTTCAAATTGTTTCATTGTGAGAATGCGTACAATCCTGTTGTGAATATGTGGTGCCTAAATGTAAGACTGATTAGATTAACTTATTGTATTTCCTGGAATACCCTCATAAACGCTTCACACACGTGGGTTGTATCCATTTTTTTTATTGTAGACAATATGAACGCACATTCCGATTACTACATTTTATTATTTTTATTGTTACATTTCCGTGAATTTTGATCCCTGTATGAAACTACTGTAACTAATAATATATGTATCGCTGATGGTTTCCATAAATAATTTTCATTAATTTGTAAAAAAGCCGATGGGTATTCTGGGAATAATCTTATTTTCTAGGCCAAAGTTCAACCAGAGGCAGTTAATACAAAACATTCGGTATCAGTGAATAGGTCATTAAAAATGTTTTGCATTGTATTGGTCTCTTCTTCTATCGCGGGTCTGAAGTCTACGGAGTCACTACCTGATGTTTTTATCTGTGAATTGAACCCAGAACTCGGAGTAAAGTCTTACAATCCAACCACTGGGCCATAGAAGTATGAGCCTTCTCTAGTAATAATAGCACTTGATAAACGATCGTTTAAAGTTAACTGTCGCTTGTTACACTCAAGCCTAACTGTGCCTATTTAGCTTGTTATATACGTAATTTATATAATTAATTACCGTATTTACATTTAATATGTACCTATTTACTTTTCAAATAATTTATTGTTATTATTTTGTCATGATTGTTCATAAACGAGTTTTACATTTTGTCTAAATAATTAGCTGAATGATAAGTATAACAATATTATTAATTTAAACAAAAAAAATATATTGTTCAAACAAATATACCTACGCAGACTTCACAGTGAAGGAAGGAAGCTAAACAAAATAATATCACACGATAATATGTATTTTAGACTGCGTATTGTAGTTGCATTATGGTTTCCTTCATGAATTACTCGGTAATGACTTCGATTGAAACAATGTAAATATAATACTTCATACATTGTTCAGGATAAGGATGTATTTAAAACACAGCTACTTTTTATGCTATTCTAAATGTAATACATAAGTAAATGGAGCAGTATTGTTTATTATTGAATCAAAGTATCACAGCAGCATGACATTAATAGGTTTATTAAAACTTTTCGTAGACTTTTATGAAGTCTGTTTAATTAATGAAGTACGTAATTTAATTTAGAATTATTTTTGTTTGTAGTATGATTGTGTTTTCTACACAATCAATATATAAATTGCGTCATCTATGCTATAAAAGTAGATATAAAACCTATTATATTATTTCTTAGAGCAAATGTTTTAAATATAGGAAATGAATAAGACTGCTCCGATGAACATTGTGTAAACAACTGATATTTTAACATCGGTAATGTTAAATGTAGAGTGACTTCATTAGGTTGTCTACGTCATCCTTTGTGTTGTGCTGCTGCTGCGGCCGCGATGACGAGAACAGATGTTCGATGTCATGTGTAATATAATCTATAGGT